GAAAACCTGCAGCCTGCCTGTTCTGGCCTCTTCTCGGAACCATGTGTCTTCAAAGAAGGCTGGCAGTGTCCTGTCTCTGAGTACATCTCCAACTCCCAGTCTTGAGCTCCATTCTACCTGCCAAGGTGTGCCCCTCTCTGCCTCCCCCTGGGGCCACCTCCATCTTCCCAAAAGTGCAGGGAACTAATACTTGTTGATTAGCCCCTGGGCATCAGGCTTTTAGGTGGGTACTTTTAAATCCTGTATTTCACATATTTGCAGAAACTATTACTCTCATTTTTCAAATAAGGACACTAAGGATCAGAAAGATTAATTGCTTTGCCCAAGATCACACAACCAGGCAGTGGCAGAGCTGGGACTTCAACCCAGACCTGTCAAACAGCAAACCTGGGCTCTTCCCACACACAAAGCTGCTCCCGCACTGGGTTCACAAACTTCTCCAAAACGTGGCGAACCCCTGAACCTCATCATAACCTGGTGTTGCCCATCTTTGGAGAATAGCTTCTCAAACTCCCAATCCCCAACACCACCTGTCAATCCCTCTTTACCGTGCTCCTTCCAGGCACATGGGGTTCCTCCCCCAATCCAGACTGAGGGATCAGCTATTTCAAAACTACCCTGGGAGCCAGAGCCTCTGAATCTTGCATGAGGCCCAAGAACAGACCCGAATGGTGTCTAGTGGCTGCCTTCTCTGCTTCTATAGTCAGCATGGCGCAGACCACAGACACTAGGCTCTCACCTTGGAGGAGGTTTCATGACTTCTGGGCCTTCTCGCCTCGATGAACCCACAGATAATTCCATCTCCTAGGAGATCTCACTATCCTATGCAGTAAGCCTTGTTCTTTTCAGCCATTGAAAATGAAAACACCTACCAACAGGGTTTCAGCTAAGCCCCGAACTCTCGAGTGTCACATTCTCTTCCAGCAGCCCCTAAAGCAGCCTGTGCCCTGGAGTCAGCACAGGGGACAGGGAGAAGGGAATGAAACAGCAACTGCTCCTGGAGGAAGCAGGGAAGAAACACACCCCAAACTGCTCCCAGCAGCTCTAGTGACTCGACACTCAGGTCCTTATGAGGGGGTCCTTTCAAAACAAGAACTATCAGGGAACTCAGTTCAAAAGGAAACACTGAAAGAAAAAGAACAAATTTGGACAAGGGAGCTCTCTCAAAGGGAGAGCTGGCCTTTAAACTGGACAATGACGAGGTCCAAAGGGCCCCCCACAATAGTCTGAGCCACAAATCCAAACACCAGACAGAACCATGATGTCCTGTAACTCACAGCTCCAACAACAAGGTTCTAAGGCCTTCTGAGGACAGGCGCACAGGACAACCAAGGTTCACTGCCACTTAGAGCAAGTCAAACCCCACTCCTGAACTTCTCCCGAGCCGCTTTCACAACCTTCTCCTCCCAGCCTGCCACCATCAATCTCTTCCTCCCTAAACTGTTCTTCCCACCTGCTGTCAAATATCCCCGGGTTTCAGAATTAAAAAAAAATGCCTACTATTAAAGAGAAACTTACTGTTTTAAAGTAGTTGGGTTGTGGATATACTTTTTTGCCTCCTGTGGATGGTCCCTATGTACCTCATTTTATTTATCTCCACAGTATTTTTCATCATCTGACAATTTATATTGTTTATTGTCTATCTCCCCCCACCAGTATGTAAATCTATGAGGCAAAGATTCTTTTTTGTTTGTAACTCGTTTACTAGCCCACAGTGCAGTACCTGGAAGATACCAGATGCTTAATATAAATCTGCTGAAAGAAGTAATTTCAAAAATGGTTCAAACACAAATGAAATTTTTTAAACTTATTAAGAGGATCAGAAAACAACAGCAAACCCCCCATTAAGAGTGAAATGCCAGGGCATATCCACTGAAGTGGATGGCTGATATATTACTATGAGCTGAAGTTCTACTCTCTGTGAAAGACTGGAAAAGGAAAAGGAGTATAAATATAGAAGGAATAAACATAAATATCTTTGCTTGCAGATAGAATAGCTATCTGCCTAAAAGTATCCAAGAGTCAAAAGAATAAATGGAAAACATTTACAACTGACAAAATAATTCATTAAGTTGGTTAGATATAGGATAAGTAAACCAAAATCATTAGCTTTCCTAAATACCATCATAAACAATTAGAAGATAAAATGGGAGAAAATAACATATCATTCATATGAAAATAGCTAAGAATGTATCTAACAAAAATGTGTAAAACCAAGATGAAGAAAACTAAGTGTTTATTAAAATAAATAAAAGAACCGAATAAACTGGAACATGCAGTGTTTCTGAGTGGGAATAATCAAATTTGTAAACAAGTCAATTATCTTCAGTTTTGCCTATGAATCCAATAAAATCCACTCGTCCACCAAAAAAATCAATGAGATTTGTGCAGGGGTAGGGGGACATTTAAAGTCATCTGACAAAGTAAGTGTGAAAGACCAGACGAAAATGTTTTGTTTTGTTTTGTTTTGTTTAAAAGATTTTATTTTTTTTCCTTTTCTTTTTTCTCCCCAAAGCCCCCAGGTACATAGTTGTATATTCTTAGCTGTGGGTCCTTCCAGTTGTGGTATGTGGGACGCCACCTCAGTGTGGCTCGATGAGCGGTGCCATGTCCGCACCCAGGATCCAAACCGATGAAATCCTGGGCCATCTGCAGCAGAGCGAGCGAACTTAACCACTCAGCCACGTGGCTGGGCCCGAAAATGTTTTAAAGGAAAAAATTCTTTGAAAGAAAAGATGAGGGGGAATTAAACCCTACCTTAAAAGGACAACAGTGAGAGAAAATGAGAAGACAAGCCACAGATAAAGGGATCTTATAAAGGACCGTTATCCAAAGTATACACAGAACTCTTAAAATTCAACAATAAGAAAACGAACAACCCAATTAAAAATTGGCAAAAGACCTCACCAAAGAAGATATATACACGGCAAATTGGTATATAAAAAGATGCTCCACATTACATGTCATCAGGGAAATGCAAATTAAAATGATGAGATACCACTACACCCCTATCAGAATGGCCAAAATCCAGAACACTGACAACACCAAACACTGGTGAGGATGTGGAGCAACAGGAACTCTCATTCATCGCTGGTAGGAATGCAAAATGGTACAGCCACTGTGGAAGACAGTTTGGCGGTTTCTTACAACACTAAACATACTCTTACCATCAATCCAGCAATCATGCTCCTTGGTATCTTCCCAAATGAGCTGAAAACTCACTTTCACACAAAAACCTGCACACAGATGTTTATAGCAACTTTATTCATAATGCCAAAACTTAGAAGCAACCAAGATGCCCCTCAGTAGGTGAATAGATACACAAACTTTGGTACCTCCAGACAACAGAATATTATTCAGTGCTAAAAGGAAATAAGCTACCAAGCCACGAAAAATCAGAGAGGAATCTTAAATGCTCATTACTAAGTGAAAGGAGCCAATCTGAAAAGGCTACACACTATATGATTCCAAATATATGACATTCTGGAAAAGGCAAAACTATGGAGACAGTAAAAAAGATTAATGGTTGTCAGGGCAAGAGGGATGAACAGATGAAGCACAGAGGATTTTTAGGGCTGTGAAAATACTCTGTACTATACTACAAGAATACTCTGTGATACTATAACAACGGATACATGTCATTATACATTTGTAACCCACACAACGTACAACACCAAGGGTGAACTCTAATGCAAACTATTAACTCTGGGTTACAGTAATGTGTCAGTATAGGTTCATCAATTGTAACTACTGTACCCCTCTGGTGGGGGAAGCTGATAATGGAGGAGGCTATGCACGTGTGGCAGCAGGAAGCATATGGGAACTCTCTGTGCTTTCTGCTCAATTTTGCTATGAATCTAAAATTTCCCTAAAAAATAGAGTCGATTTAAAAAAAAAAAAAAGACAATACTTAATCTCTTACCTGGACTGCAATATGTTCCTAACTGACTCACATCCTTCTACAACCAACTCACCCCTAAAGGCTGGAAAACCTTTTTAATATATAAATCCAACCATGTCACCTCCCCTGCTTAAAATCCTTTAATGCCTTTCCACTTAACCCAGAACAGAAAGCAACGTCTTTACAGTGACCTAAAAAATGTGCCTATTTCTCTCACCTCACATTTAACTACTTTCTCCAACCTCTCCCTGTTTCTGGAGAACACACAGCTTTCTCCCCTACCTCAAGGGCTTTGCATTTGCTGTCCCGTCTGGAAAGCTCTTCTTTAGCTCTCTCTTCAGTAGTTCCCAAAACTGTTTCTATCTCATCCTTGAGGTCTCAACCTCATGTTATCACCTCCATGAAGGCTTCCCTGACCATTACCTTCAAAGGTAGCTTCGCTAGGGCTTCTCCAATTTGAGAAGCTGCATAAGAATCACCTGGAGAGCTTGTTAAAACAAGCCTCCTCCCCAGTCTGATTCTGGGTCTAGGGTGGGGTCCAAGAATTTGCAATTCTAATGACTCCCAGGTGATGCTGATGCTGCCTACCTGTGCAAGACGCTTCTGAGAAGCGCTGTACCTTAGCAACATGTAATCATGATTATTAACTTACTTATTTGTTTACAGACTATTTTGCTAAAAGTACCTTCTGTGAGAAAAGGGAACTTGTCCGCATTATTCAGTACTATGCACCTAGCATTGGAAAGAACAACGCTGGTCTCTCTGGAATACATCTACAATTTATGGGGCAATCTCTTGAATGAAAAATTTCTCTGATCCCAGCAGGCAATTTTTATTTGTAGAACATGACCTGAATTACCACATTCAGGGAGAATTTCTTGCCTTGGGTCCCCCTTTTTCCACTTAAACTTACACATCCAAACTCATCACTCTCTATACACAACACTCTTATTTCCTTCACCATGTATTTATGGCCATAGCCCTGGGGATAGACTTAAGGGGGGAACCACGGCCTGACCAAGCTAGGCCGCCTTAGTCCTTTCCTGGTTACCTGATAACTAATGCGATTTTTAAAAGACTGAAAGGAAGCTCAGCTCACCTGAGGCCAAGATGTTTGGAGCATGGCTGATGTCCCCTGGCTCCGTGCACTGTCTTCTGGGTTTCGAAAAGAACCTTAGAAGCTAAGAGAAGAAGAGCCATGAGCGCAATGGACTCTGTCCTGCATCACCCGCAGCCGCCTACAGCCTTCCCAGCCTCATATCCAGCGCTGGCAGGAGACTCCATCAGGCCCCCTGCCGGCTGATCACCCCAACCTCCTCATGAAATGCTGTGCCTGGTCCTCAGGACAATCCTCCATCTGCCTGCTCAATCCGAGAGCATTGCTGAGCCCATTCACACGGAGCGACTGAGGGATCCAAGACGAACCCTGTCCCTCCTGTGTTGGGTCTGAACAGATCTAAAAACCCAAAAAAGCGCTTATAGGGACCATGTCATTGACCCAAAAAAGCTGCCTATGGAGGGACGAAGGGACTGGGATTACGAGTAAAATAGTGTCCAGTAGATGATGTTGACTGGGGACCCAAACGGGATCTCCATCCAGGGAAGCAGGAGACCCCAAACACTAGAAACGTCAGTACCGGGCAGAGGAAGCCATTGGGCCAAGTTCTTCAGGACAGAAAAAGAGGATCACGCCTCGGTGGGCAAGGGGCTGGACCAGGGCTCTAGAAGGCCGCGCAGCCACCTCGGGCGGCTTCTGAAGCCCAGACGCCGGAGCTCCGGCTGAGGGAAGAGCCGCCACTGGGACCGCGTTCACGGGAGGGAGTGCTGACGAGTCGCCAGGGGAAACGAGGAAGCCGGCACCGGGCGGACCTGGCAGGGAGAACTCGCTGGAACCAACGCTCTTCCTCTCCGTACACCGAAAAGCTGGCAGCTCAAAACCGACGCGGAAGCCAGCGCGCGCGCCAAGCGCCCCTCTAGGCCTCCGGAGGCGGCCGAGCTCTGTGGTCCCCGCGGCAGGCCCCCACGTGACTTGGCCCCCTGCGGAAGAGGTGGGGTTGCGGGCCGGCGCCCGCCTGTGCCGTCACTGGCGTGCGCCGAGCTAGTACTTTTGCAGCCGAGGCTTCGGCGTGCTGCAGCCGTGGAACCGTCTCGGGAGTGTAGTGTAGTGGGACTTGTGCGGCCTCGCCCTACACAGACTTCGGCCTCTAGGCCCAGGTGGGGACCCGGTTAACAGACTGCCACGTTAGCTGTCGGCCGCCTTTACCCTGGGTCACGTGGGCTGTGCAGGTGTGGGGAGATTGGCTCCTGTTGTGTCACCTCTTAGAGACCACGCCAGGGATCCTGCTTGGGTCCTAGACTGGGCAGCCCTTAGGAAAATCATGGTTTCCACCTGCCTTTTATGTATTTATTTATTTGGCACCTGAGCTAACAACTGTTGCCAATCTTTTTTTTTTTTTTTCCTGCTTTTTCTCCCCAAATCCCCCCAGTACATAGTTGTTTATGTTATAGTTGTGGGTCCTTCTAGTTTCCACCTGCCTTTTAAAAGCCCTCTCCCTTCCTAGGACCCGGACTGCGTGAGAGCTTTTAGAGCAGATTCATTTAACAACCAAAATAATGGCGACTAAGGTTGCCAGGTCTCCAGTATATACAGAACTTGTCCTATATTAAATGATTTTGTCCTTAGTGACTTTGGCAGAATGTCGTAAATGTCCTATGTTTAGCTTTTTACAATAAAATTATGAAAATTCTGTAGCTTAGAGCTATTTTTCTGTCCAGTAACTAGCAGTTAAATAACTTAAATGTCAACCCTGACCAAAAACAATCATACTTCCACAAATAAAGATCTGGATAATCCCTTCTTGCGGGAGAGACTGTTACTGGCTCTTAGTTAATATCAGCCCCAATATTGGTTCCCCTACAGGGAAGCAAGCACATGTGGGGTTAAAACCGAAAGCACACATTCCCAGTTCCCTGCTTCTTTTGTTAGACTAATGTAAATGTTCCTTTAACCTCTGACTCCCTGAGTCTTACAACCAATTAGAAGTTACAAATTGCCACTAAATTTGTACATTTGTAGAAATGGCCACTAAAGCTGTGGCTAAGCACAGGACCTTGAAGTTCTTTTGCAGAGAAACTAATGTCCAGAGAATATCAAGAAAGTGAAGCTTCCCAGGCCCAACTCCTCGGCTTCCTGATGTCAGAGTCTACCTTCCATCTTGGAGATAAACAGCCAAGGGCACTCATCTGAGAAATCCTTTGTCTCCTCTGCTGGAAGCAGCCCTGAACAAAGGCCGATGGGAAAATGCTGACCAAGAATGCCATAGCCCTCTCCCCTACCTAAAGCCCTAAATAAAAAACCCTATCGGTTTCATTTTTATTTTTTTATTTTTATTTTTTTGAGGAAGATTATCCCTAAGCTAGCATCTGCCACCAATCCTCTTTTTTGGCTGAGGAAGACTGGCCCTAAGCTAACATCCTTGCCCAGCTTCCTCTACTTTATATATGGGACACCTACCACAGCATGGCTTGACAAGTAGTACATAGGTCCACACCCTGGATCCAAACTGGTGAGCCCTGGACCGCTGAAGTGGAATGTGCAAACTTAATCACTGCACCACCGGGCCAGACCCACTACCCGTTTCTTATCAGGGAGCTAGCAATTCTTGAGGCCCTTGCTTTGCTCCCTCTGCCTGGCAAAGTAAAGCCTTCCCTTTTTCACTCAAGACTCTGTTCTCATTATTTGGATTGGCATTGGGATCAGAGGCAGAACTTTCAGTAAGTTTGGCTGAGGGAAGAAAAGAAAAGAAAAAAGACTGAGAATTAAAACATTAAAAGTACTTGTTTTTCATATTCAAGAAAAGAGAAGACTGTTCTTTTACCAAAATCCCAAGTCAGGAACAAGTAACTGCCTTAAATTTACATAACTTCAGGTCAATACACATGCTCTGAAAATCAGCCAATAAGTGACAGCCTCACTTTAGTCACCCCCAGTAACTATGCTTCTGAAAGTTAGCAGATCATTTGCAGGGCCAAGCTTCTGAACATGAGCCAATTGGTGACAAACACCCTTGAAAGTCAGCCAATCAGTGACAGCCCTACTTACTGGACAACAGCCAATTAGCAAGTGCCTCACTACAGTGACTACGCTTCTGGAAATCACTGGGTCAACAGTAGCCCTACTCTAGTGACCACTTCTTGCCAATGTGGTTGCCAACATGAAATGAATTTTACCTTGACCACTCGGATGTTTCTTTGAATATAGTTCCAGATATATGGCTCCTATTCACCAAACACTTCAGAGCTATAAAGGGAAATTGATCTCTCACTGCTAGAATATAGAATGATCCTGGCTATCTGGATGTATAGCTCTAACACAGGAGTTTGTTATTCCTTTCATAGGAATTAGATTTGGTTTCTGACCAACTATAGCATATAAAAAAGCCCTATCATGGAGAGTACATTAGGTATCTACTGCTGCATAACAAATCACCCCAAAACTTTGTGGCTGAAAACAATATACATTTATTACCTCTCAGAGTTTCTGTGGATCAGGAATTGAGGAGTGGCTTGGCTAGCTGGACTGGCTTGGGATCTCTCATGAGGTTCCAGTCAGGTGTCACCTGGGGCTGCACTCATCTGAAAGCTTGACTGAGGCTGGAGGATCTGCCTCCAAGGTAGTTCATTCATACGCCTGGCAAGTTGGTACTGCTTATTGATGTGAAACCTCAGTCCCTTCCCACATGAGTAGCTGCATATGGCTAAGTGTCTTCACAACGTGGCAACAGACTTCTACCCAAGGCAAGCAATCCAAAAGACCAAGGCTAGCTGCAATGTCATTTATGACATAGCTTTGGCAGTTACACCATCATTACCTCAATATACTGTCATCACAGGCCGCTCATGATTAAGTGTCAGATGAGATGCATTAGGGCATGAATGCCAGAATGAGAATCCCTGGAGACCATGGTGGAGGTTGCCTAACATACAGATTTTACCTACCACAGAAAAAGTCCATTTTATAAAATCTATGGTATTTTTATTGCAAAGTTTATGCAAAGCAATTTTTAAATAGAAGAATTAGATTTCCAGGAAACAATATGCATGATGAGGACTTATATTTGCATGCTGCCCCCTCTCTAAACCTATCCAAATGAACATCTACCATGAATCTAGAGAGATGGGCACACATATATGGGTGCACATACACACATGTACACCACAAACTCTAAAGAGTATCAACCAGTTATTACAATTAGGACCAACTTGAAGGGGAACAAAATTGGACATGCAGTTCATCTGTTTGGTATTATGGTGCAAGGCGAAGAAATTAGAAAGCTTTGGTAGGCCCAAATAAAAACCCCCAAATTGGGAGGATAACTGGAATTATGGGCAGTCAGAGAAAAAAATTGGGAGCATGCTACAAGAGGCTTATTCTTTCCCAGAAGAGCCTCACGAGAGGGACAGAGTACAGGCAGTGCTGACCTAGAGGCAGCTAGATGGCAAGGTGAGCCAGGAGAGATGGGAAACTTTGGCCTTTGTAGCTGTCAGAGTCCGTTCATGTATTAGCAAAATTAATGCCTGGAGCTGGATGTTCCTCACCTGGCCAATGCCAGAGAGACTGGCTCTCCCTAAAAACACACTATCCCCAGCCACTAGCCAGTGCAATAACACAACGAAAAGAAAGAAAATGAATCCAGAAGTGGAAATGAAGAAGCAAAATGATTGTTATTTGTGTACATGATTTTCAATGTTAGAAAAGCCTATGGAATCCACAAAATGTTACTAGAACTAATAAGTGAGTTGTGCAAGGTTGCAGTACAAGGTCAAAATACAAAAATCAATTATATTTCTATATACCATCAATGAAAATTGGAAATTTTCTATTTACAATAACATCAAAAATATGAAATATTTACACATAAATCTGAGAAAAGGTGTAAAAGACCAGTACAGTAAAAATTATAAAACATTCCTGAAATTAATAAAGATCTAAATAAATGGAGAGATTTACCATGTTCATGAGTCAAAAGACTACAGAGTTAAGATATCAATTATCCCAAAATTTATCTATAGATTCAATATAATCTCAATCAAAAGCCCAGGATGTTTTTGGTAGAAATTGACAGATTGATTCTAACATTCATATGGAAATGCAAAGGACCTAGAATGGCCAAAACAACTGGCAAAAAACAAAGTAGGAGGACTAACACTATACAACTTCAACACTTAGAAAAACTACGGTAATAAAGGCAGTGTGTTAATGGAATTAAGACAGATCAATGGAACAAAACAGAATCTAGAACTAGACCCACACATATATGGACAGCTGATTTGAAACAATGGTGCAAAGGCAATTCAGTGGAAAAGGAATTTATATTTTCAAAAAATGGTGCTATACTAGGTTACCCATTAAAAAAAAAGAAGGGAGGGAGGGAGAGAGGAAGAAGGAACTTAGATCCATACCTCACACCCTATACAAAATTTAACTCAAAATAGATGACAGAGCTAAGTGTAAAATCTAAAACTATAAATCTTCTAGAAGGAAAAATAGGAAAAATTCTTTGTAAACTTGAGTAAGGCAAAGATTTCTTAAATATGACACTAAAAGCACAATCCCTAAAAGAACAAGCTGATAAATTGGACCTCATAAATATTAACATCTCCTGCTCTTCAAAAGATACTGTCAAGAGAATAAAAAGACAAATCACAGGCTGGGAGAAAATATTTGGAAATCACATATATAAAAAAGGACTTGTATCCATAATATATAAAGACCTCTCAAAGATCAGTAAGAAGAAAACCCAATAAAAACATAGGCAAAAGACATGAACAGACACTTTACCAAAGAAGACATAATGGAAGGCACATAAGTACCTGAAAATGTGTTCAACATCATTAGTCATTAGGGAAATGTAAATTAAAACCTCAACCAGATAGCATTATGCACCTATTAGAACAGCTAAAATTTAAGACTGACAATATTGAGTGTAGGCAAAGATGTATTAGAAGTGGAACTCTCATACAATTCTGATGGGAATGTAAAATGGCACAACGTCTTTGCAGAACAGTTTTGAAGATTCTTTTTTTTTTTTAAAGATTTTTTTATGTTTTTCCTTTTTCTCCCCAAAGCCCCCCGGTACGTAGTTGTATATTCTTCGCTGTGGGTCCTTCTAGTTGTGGCACGTGGGACGCTGCCTCAGTGTGGTTTGATGAGCAGTGCCATGTCCACGCCCAGGATTCGAACCAACGAAAACACTGGGCCGCCTGCAGCAGAGCTCGCAAACTTAACCACTCAGCCACAGGGCCAGCCCCTTGAAGATTCTTAAAAAGTTAAATATATACCTACCTTATGATCTAGTTATTCCACTCCTGGTATTTACCCAAGAGAAATAAAAGCGTACATCCTTACAAAGACTTGGACACAAACGTTCATAGCAGCTTTATTTGTAACAGCCAAAAACTGGAAACAACCCAAATGACCATCAAGAGGTGAGTGGACAAACTCTGGTATATCCATAGTGGAATACTCCTCAACAATAAAAAAGAATGAACCATTGATACATGCGACATGGGTGAATCTCAAAATAATTATGCTGAGTGAAAGACACCAGACCAAAAAGAAGAGTACATACGGTGTAATAAGATTTATCCAAAATCCTAGAAAAGGAAAACTAATCCAAAGTGACAGAAAGTAGATCAGTGGTTGCCTGTGGAGAGCCAGGAAGAAGAGATTACAAAGGGGTGTAAGCAGAGTTTTGGGGGTTATGGCTGTGTTTATTCTCTTGGTTGTGGTGACTGTTTCACTGGTGCATACATAAATCAAAACTTATCAATGGCATTATAATAATAAATAACACTTTTGTTTATTATGCTCCAGTCACTGGTCTAAGCACTTCTACATATATTACTGCAGTTAATCCTCAACACAAACCTGTGAGGTAGATTGTCATCCCTATTTTACAGATAAGGAAATTAGTACAGAGTTTCTGCAACTTAACCAAGGTCACACCAAGGAATGCCTGGGTCCATACCAAAGTCTGCCTGGCTCTGTATTACTAAGCACTACCCTCTGCTCCCTGCAGTGGGCAAAGTCAAGCTGTCTGCAGAAGTGGATGCTAAAACAGAACACATTTACATCTTCCTTCGGTTCCATAGGTAACAGAAAACAATGGTAGCTTCTTCCATGATTATAACAAATAACTAGATGAAGTTACAAGGAAATGTTTCCTGCTATGAGGTCACTTGGAACAGCAATGAGATGGATCATTTAAGACAAATAGCGCCTTGCATCTGACTCAAAGGGTACATATACCCCAACTTTTGCAAAGGCACAGACTACAACTGCAGAGTAAGAAGTAGTGTGGGTGGGCACTGCACCCAAGGTAGGTCTCTGAAAGTTTGCACTCTATTAGGAATGTCCTCCAAGATGCAGATGGCTCCACATGGACAAGACCCCTCTCTTTTTTATTTTAGAGACTCCTAATATACAGATGGTAATAGGGTAACCACATATCTGTCTTTTTCTTTCCTGGTTTACCCTTTCTTTAGTGTTGCATATCTGAGAAAGAATACATGGGAGATAAAGTTTTAAGATCTAAAGGGTCTGAAATGCCTTTATTCTATACTCACACTTGAGGGTATAAAATTCTGGGTGAAAATCGTTTTCCTTTTCCCATTTTGAAGGCTTACACCATTGTCCTCTCACTTTCAAGGCTGCTGTTGAGAAATCTGAGGCCATCTTATTCCTGATCTTTTGTTTTCTCTCTGTAGAAACTTTTAGGATCTCCTCCTGTTTTGATTATTCACAGTGATGTTCTTTGATGTAGGTTTCCCCCAGTCCATCTTGCTGGGCACTCCGCATATCCTTTCAATCTGGAAACTTATATTTCCTTTTATGTTTGTAAGTTTGGGGTTTGTTTCTTGTCTTTTCTAACTGTAAAGAGAATTTTTGTTGAAGAAACAAGGGCTCACAGAATTTGAGGAAGGTTTCATGATGGAAGCTGAGAGTCTGAATTAAACATCTTACTGGGACATTCCAGTTATGCAGAGCTGCAGGAACAGACATACACGGTTAAGAATTAGCACAGTCCAGGAAGGACAGTGATGACACTCATAAAAAGCATGAAAAAGGAGAGAAACAAGAGGCACAGTGAGCCTAGCTGTGGATAATCCAGGGCTACTCTTGGACAGATGTCTTCTGCATGTGTAGTTTCTGATGCAGAATGAATCTTCCACACCAGCCAAAGGTTTTCCCGCACACCTTACACTCATAAGGTTTCTCGCCAGTGTGAACTCGTTCATGCTGAACCAGGGTTATTTTCTGATTGAATGCCTTCCCACACTCCTTACATTCAAAAGGTTTCTCCCCGGTGTGAATTCGCTGATGCTGAGTCAAGGCTGTGTTGGAGCTTAATCGTTTCCCGCACTCTTTACATTCATAGGGTTTCTCCCCAGTGTGCATTCGCTGATGGACAATAAAACTGGAGCTACAACTGAAAGTTTTCCAACATTCGTTACATTCATAGAGTTTCTCCCCAGTGTGGAACCTCTGGTGCTGGAGGAAGACGGAGCTGCTACTGAAGGCCTTACCACACTCCTTACACTCATAGGGTTTTTCTCCAGTGTGGATTCTCTGATGCTGAATCAAGGCTGTATCTGAACTTAAACCTTTCCCACATTCTTTACATTTAAATGGTTTCTTTCCAGTGTGAATTATCTGATGCCGAATAAGTAATGAGTTATATCTGAAGTCTTTTCCACATTCTTTGCATTCAAAAGACTTTTCACCAGTGTGATGTCTCTGATGTTGGTGGAAGTCTGCCATTCGACTGAAATATCTGTCACATTTTCTACATTCATAAGATATCTGACCACTAGGACCTGTCTGATTTGTACTGAGTTTTGTGCTGACACTAACATTTTTTCCTAATTTCTCACACTTCTCCCCACTCTCGACAGCACAGGCCTCATGATGCCTGGTTGACCCATCTGTGAAATCTCTCCTCTTTGAGTCTGTTTTCTTGACTATCCAGTGACCATGCGGCTGCTCGAGGTTGCTTCCAAGGTCAAGGTGCTGGAGAACATCCCCTGGCAGCCCTCCTAATGTCAGTCTGTGGGCCTCCGTTTCTTTGGAAATATGTTCCTTTGGAGCTGATTCTCCCTTCTCGGTTCTGGTCTCACGCCCTGATGTCACAAAAGAAAGAAAATACAAGTGTTAGCCCCTGATATGACAAAAAGAAAATACCTGCACTGAAGGTGGAATGGGATGAATTGGTTCTAATCTGCCCGAGTACATGGTTATTTTCCCAATATGTCCAAAAAATGGCTACCAAGGATCACCACACAACAGAGCCCCACAAAAGAAATGAAGACCCTATGAGAGAAAGCTAAGCAAGGCCAGGAGACACTCCCATAAAGAGTGACTGGAAAACAGCACACTGTTAGCTAGCACAGAAAGAGCAAGAGAAAGTGAATTGGATGGATAAAAGGGCAGACATAGAGAAGTGAGGAACAGAGACCCCGAGGTGAGAGAAAGACCACTGGGACTGGAGAAGGGGCAGGTCAAACAGCTCAGGAACTACAAAGGGTCCCACAGGCAGAAATTCCTTAAGAGCTGCTTATTTTAAAACATTATCCCTGGGGCCAGCCCCGTGGCTGAGTGGTTAAATTCCCGCACTCCGCTTTGGCGGCCCAGGGTTTCACCGGTTCAGATCCTGGGTGCAGACATGGCACTGCTCAAGAAGCCATGCTGAGGTGGCATCCCACACAGCACAACTAGAAGGACATGCAACTAGAGTTTACAACTATGTACCGGGGGGCTTTGGGGAGAAGAAGAAAAAGAAAAAGACTGGCAACAGAGGTTAGCTCAGGTGCCAATCTTTAAAAAAAAAAAAAAATTACCCCTGTTAAAATCTTTGAAAAGAGCAGTGATCTCTGTCATCAACTTGGCTCTAGCAAAGCAGCAGGCTCCTACGGTGTGGCTGAGGGGCCCATGCAGGGCAAACTCCACAGCATCCAGAAGGGAAAGGGAAGATGTGGAGGCTTGCCTCTGAAATAAAAGGGGACTGAACGCGTGAAGAGCCCTTCCAGGAATGGACGTAAGTCCCAGAGAGGACTTACGATTTTTGCCCTTTTCCTAAAACACCACACAGGATGTGTATACAGTTTAAGACAACAGGGTGGAATATGAAATCCTAAACTAACACACTAAAAACGAAAAAGCCAAGGCTATTTTCCCTCTGCTTTTGAGACCTTCTGCAGGCTGATATAATCTTCAGCACTGGCTAGGGCAAAACCTCATGTGTTTTCAAGCAAATTGCTTAGCAAATATTTTTTACCCAGAGAGCCTGAAGTCCTGGGGTCATATCCAGAAAGGCACCATGACACGAGCCTGGGGCAAGGCGGGAGGGATCATTAATGGGCCTTCTCTGCAAAGAGGAAATTTTAACAGGCATAGAAGGGGTGAAGTAAAATAAGAAAGGCAAAAAGATTCACTATGTTGTTATTTTTAATTCCCATATCAACACCTTTCAAAATAAGGAAAGCCATTCACCTTTTATTTACAGCAAGTTTTGCTTCAAAAGTTCATCTTAAAAAATTTTTTCAAGTGTCTGTGGGGGAAAAACAAAACAAGAATGGCCGAACATTGGTGACTGTTGAGGTGAGAGATACCTGGGGTGTGTTTGGCTGGTATCTGCATATGTTTCAAAATTTAAATTATAGGGGCTGGCCCCGTGGCCGAGTGGTTAAGTTCTCGCGCTCGCTGCGGTGGCCCAGAGTTCCGCCAGTTCGGATCCTGGGCACGCACACGGCACGGCTCATCAGGCCATGCTGAGACGGCATCCCACATGCCACAACTAGAAGGACCCACAACTAAAAATATACAACTATGTACCGGGGGGCTTTGGGGAGAAAAAGGAAAAGTAAAATCTTTAAAAAAAAAATTTTAATTATAAAAATGAAGTTGTTTTATTTGTTAAGTCAGAGTTAGGGAACCCATAATTCAATTTTCCATAGAAATGATGTACTCTACAAATACATAGATGGCGAGACAGGCCCCCAGAAGCCTATTTTCCTCATAAGGTGGTTGATGTCCTCATTTTTGCAAAAACAAACTGGTGGAAAAATAAAATGTTTCCACATGACAGAGATGAAAGAGCTGCTTTAAGAGCTGCTCATTTAGTCTCCCTTGGCAGGTGGTGAGGTGGAGAGGCAAAGACGAACATGCAAAGAAATCTTGCAGCCACGCCTTTCCAGGAAGAGACTGGCCCTTCCTCATTTGAGGGAGGCTGTCACCGTGAACTCAAAGTCATATGTAATGATTCCACTGTAACGATTCCAATCCATGTAATGGTCTAATGAGAACAGTTTCACAAGAGAAGACACACTTCTTACACATTGAAAAGTGAAAACAAGAAAGCAGGCTAAGCAAAAAAGGCAGCTGGCAGTCCTTGTGCTCACCTGGACAGATGCCTCTGAGGGCCTCCGGGCTTGCACGTTCCCAGGGGTCAAGGCCTGGTGGCAGTTCCCCTCGCTCCAGCTGGGAGACCAGAACAGGTCTGGTGAATGAAAAAGCTGCCCAGAGAGAAAGAAACAGGAACACAAAGGCCAAGGGAATCATGAAGCAGGGTCCCCTTGCAGCCCTCTTTATCTTTCCCCACTGAGCCAGGTAGGGAGAAATGAAGAGAAGTCAGCCTGTGCCATCTTAGAGGACAGGACATTCCCACAAAAGGGGGCTGAGTCCTGGAATACGTCCCCACTGACATGAGGGAGTCCCAAATCTTCTTCAGAGAACTTGGAAGACAGAGGCACAAAGGGTTCTGCTGAGGTCCCAAGAGCTCTTCATTTCCCTCCACGCTTGGGGCAGAGTCCCACCCCAGGGTTGCAGGGACAGCTGATTTCAAAACCTGGGAACCCAGGGTTCTTCCCACCCAGTAGCCGCTAGGGAGCTCAGCCTTCAGAAGAACTGCCCATGAGGGTTATTAGAGAGCCCACAAAGTCTAAGGACGAAGGAAGCCAGGATGCTCAAAGGGCAGAGGCAGACAACAGCAAGGAGAAGAGATGTCTTACCTAGGGAAGCCACATTTGCATAATTCTCCAGCATCACCTCCCTGTACAGGGCCCTCTGTGCTGGGTCCAGGATGACCCATTCATTCTGGGTGAAGTACACAGCCACGTCCTCAAAGGTCACTGGCTCCTGAAACAACAGGTTTCTGCTCAAGCCCTGTGTGAGGGCAGAGGAGCCTAAGTATTGGGGCAGATACCTACTGGGTCTGATGGTATTCCAAGGACAGCTACCCAGTGCCCCCTGCAGGGGCCAGCCCTCAGCCACCATTGCTCCCATCAACCAGGGTGCCCAAGATCCACTGCACGCCTTTATGGTCATCCCCAGCAAACAGCCCTTCCTTCACCTGCTGATCTGGGCCTCAACTCCACCATACCCTGCTCTGTGGAACTGTCAGTCCCTCTGGCTTTTTTCTCCTCCCTGGGTTTTGTGTGTAAATGCACGGGGGACATCTATATAAACAGCCCACATGACTTTTGTACTGATCTTCACTCCCTTTCTGATCCCACTAAAGTGACAGTAACACAATGGCCCAAGAGGAGAAGAATCAGAGCGGACTAGAAGTGTTAACAGAATTTTAGAAGGCAGAAAAAGGATGAAAGGTAACTAAACTAGGAGAGCAGAAAAAGCTGCATCATAACTGCTGGTGGAAGAGGAAGCAAACCAAAAGGAGGCCAGTTCACACCACAGAACCAAGGATGAGCTTGGATTGTTTAAGGGTGACTGCTTTTTATAACTTGGTAAAATATTCTGTCTGTTTAAAAGCACCAGGGAGGAGGGAGGACTGACAAAGTACTTAGGGCAATGCACGAAAAATACCCACAAAAAGGTCCATCACTGAGAAGTCTCAGAAAAACGAGAACATAAAAAAGACCCTAACGGCTGTCAGAAAAGGAAAAACAGGACACACATGAAGACTGAGGAGTCAAGAGGGCAACAGACTACAAAGAAAAAGTAAAAGGGAAAATGTTTGCTAAAATGCTGAAGGAAAACTTCCACTTCTCATATACAGGCAGTCACAGGGATAAGATTCATCCTCCTGCCTGAACCAAAATAAGACAGATTACATAAAACAAGGGTTTGCAAGACATTGGCTGTGAGGCAATAAAGGACAACAATCCCTGAGAGATGGGAAAGAAAGAGGTGAGCCCCAGGATTCCCGAAACTTACTAACGTGGAAGTTTCCAGGCTGTAATACAGGCAGGGTGAAGTGAGGCAGATTCCCTGGCAGAGTCTGAGACTAAGACAACTGTAGTTTATAGAACAGCATGCAAGAGAGTGCTGCACAGAGAAAAAAGTCGGGTTATCTGCAGAGGGTCCCCCTAGAAAATTTAACAGAGTACTAATCAGGATGTGGGTGTACGGAAACTACCTAAAGCCAGAGAAAGGAAATACAGTGAGACAGTGAATGCTTTTGCCCTAAAATCAGAAAGAAGACAAGGATATCTGCTCTCACTTCTACTTGACACTGAAATGGTGTTCTAGCCAGCGCAATTAGGCAAGAAGAAGAACTGAAAGGCGTCCAGACTAGAAAGAAGTAAAACTGTCTTTATTCGTAGACGGCACGTCTGTGTAGAAAAGCCAAGGGGATATACAGAAAAATTACTAGAATGGCTTTATCCAAGGAAAGACTTCTCCAATCTTGTGCACAGGAATGAAAGGAGTCTTCATTGTATGCAGTGATGCAGATTCCACTTTTCAGTTAATTTCCACTTTTCAGACCCACTTGCCAAATCGATCCCAATCAATTCCACCACGCTTGTTTTTTTCCATCTTGATTATCTTAGTTTGGGCATTCTCATCTCTCTACCCTCCTCACTTCCTCCCCTTCCCCAAACACACCCAACAGTGACAGATGCACAATGGAAGCCACAGGCCTGTACAACTCAGGATCTGGATGCAGAGCTGACACCTGTTTTCTCTTGACATCAAAAGGGTGGGAAGGTCGGGGACGGGGCAACAGAGGCTGAAAGGATGCTGGCTCACCTGGCGCCAAGTGGCCTGGAGCATAGCTGGCGTTCCCGCTTCACACACGGCCCTTGGTGTCCTGAGAAATGAGACTGAAGAGAAAATAAAGAGGCTTCGGTAAGACTGATGCTGCCTCGCACCCAGCAAAAGCCCTCTGTCCGCCCCGGGCTCCTCTCCGTCCCGCCACGCCCTCACCACAAAAGGCAGAGGAGCTGGAGAACCTGGTACTACGCCCGGGGTAAGTGAATCTATTATCACTCCGACCCCTGGGAACCCGGATTCCGGGCGACCGCTAACCCAGCAAGGCACAAGCGCAGAGAAAGCGTGGGAACGCGGCCAGCCGCCGGCTCCTGGGGAAGCTCTGGACCGGCTCAGCCGGAAGTACGTACGTCGTTCACCTCTTCTCTAGGAGCCTGGGAAGTTGTCTGGCTCTGTGGTTTCCTATCCCAGAAGCAAGCGCCCCTGTCCGTACTTTCGGAGACCCTACCGGCCAGAGTTGCCGGCCGCCCCTCCCCGTAGCTCCTCTGGAGGATGTCGGTCGGCCGGCCAGCTCAGGCCACAGAATGCATACAATCCTGGGAATCACCCAGGGTTCCCTGGCATTTGCCAATTCCGGCTGCCCTTCCAGGTACCGAGGGGACGGGACCGTTGCTGCATATGTGCAAAAGCTGCCTGGGTTCCCGTCCCGCCGCAATGGGAGGATTGGAGTGGGAAGAGTGGAGCCCATCGCTTCAACGTCCGAATGTGTATCGGTGGAGAGCATCGACTACCTAGGTCCAGAAACCTGGCTCGACTACTTATTAGCTGTATGACCAGCAAGTTTCTTTGCCTGTTTCCTTGTCTGTTAAATGGGTATGATGCTGGTACCAACCTCAAAGGGCTGTAGAGGGTTAGTAATTAAATGAGTTAATGGATTGGCAAAGTATTTACAGTAGTGCTAGCGCGTAAGTGCTTGCGAGTTTGTTTTGTTTTCTAATTCTGTTATTTGGTTTGAAGATACAAGTGATGCTGGGGCTCCACTATGTGGCACAGTTTAGGGACAGAGCAATTAACATTTACCCTTATAACACTTTCTAACCCTATACCCTATACCAGGATATGTCTGCCTGGAGACAGATTTTAGTTAATGGCACAGCAGCCTGTCCTGTGAATACAGGGTCCTTGATGTTAAGTTCAATGTTTCATACCTTGGGGTGAGATTCTCTAGACTCCTCTGCTGCCATTCTTCAGAACCACTCCATTCTCAAAGACTTGACAGGGCACCCCACTGCATAGCTAGACCTGCCAATGGGACAGCCACCATGATTTGCCTTCATTACATATTCACAATCCAAGCAAATGTCTGCACCCTAGCATTTCTTGGAGGTTGCCAACATGGGAAGACTTCGTTTCACCTCAAGGGCTCTAATACTCCTGAGAGCAGCTTCAGAGACACGGCTTCTACTTGCCAAGCACTGCTGTGCTGTGTGGAAGAACTGTCCTCTCTCTTCTCCAAGATTAGGAAGAGTGGTTTGAGGATTCCAGAAGCTTGGCAGTGAAAGGAGCCTAGGGATTCAGTATGCCTTTTTGACAATCCCAGTTTTCAAGGACTGGGTACCTCACGCCTGTCCTTCAGCTTTGCATGGTGTCCCTAAGAGAAGAACATCTATTGTTCACCAGCTCAAGAAACTGCACTTCCAGACTTCTGCCTGGGTGGAAGGCAAGTCCCTTGGCTACATGGAATCAGGAAAAGGATTTAGGGATAAGGCTGCTTTTATTTTTTTGCGGGGAGGCGGGTGAGGAAGATTGGCCCTGAGCTAACATCTGTTGCCAGTCTTCCTCTTTTTGTTTGAGGAAGATTGTCGCTGAACTAACATCTGTGCTAACTTCCTCTATTTTGTACGTGGGACGCAGCCACAGCATGGCTTGATGAGCGGTGTACACAGGTCTGTCCCTGGGAGCCCAAACCACAAACCCCAGGCTGCCGAAGTGGAGCACTTGAACTTAACCACTATGCCACCGGGCCTGCCCCAAGGCTGCTCCTTTTAAGGGCTTTTAAACAATAACATCTTCCCCATCTTATGAGAGTAGCATATTTAAAAACAAAAAACCTTATGGCCAATTATTGTAACTCAAACTATTATACCCTTAATTTCCCTGGGAAAGATTTTATGCTTTGCTAAGCTCCAAAATTACAAATTATGCCAGCACACAAATTTCATTAAGACAAACACAGTTGTTTCAACATTTGACAATAATTATAACACAAGTTCATTTCTTTCATTAACTACTCTACAATATGGTTGTGTAATCATCTTCATTTAGTGTTTTCTTAGGAAGATGTTATATACAATACACTTAAGACCCTACAGAGAATACATATAATATTTAACATCCATTTACCTGAACCTTTATGCAAAAAGAGTAAAGACAAAAGAAATATGCAAAGAATGTAAAATTATCACTGCTATAAATGACAAACAACCAGAGAAAACTTAATTCAACCCTTACATATGGTTAGGTAAGATTTAATTAGAGAAGTTTTACAAAATCTTATTGGCATTGAGGCAACCACAGAAAGCATGAGCAGATGCAGTGCGTCTCAGCAGAAATTCACTTGGTGCCAGTACACCCCTGACGGCTGCTGCTCATGTTGGCCATGGAGGATGCTGGAGTGGGTCCTTCCATATTGGAGAAGCTCATCTTTTGTGAGCCGTGCTTTTATACTTATGGTAAGTTAATAAGAAGAATTTACACATACACAGAAATGTATGCACTTCTGTATCAAGGAATGTTTATAAATTCTGGGCCCTTTTGGCCCCTGAAATAAACCCAGAATCAGTTAGGTAACAATAATCATCATTGTGGTGGGTGCCAGAGGAAGGAGAGTCCACCACCCAGATGTCTCTCAACAATATCGCTACCTCCAGTTTTTCAGACAACCCAAAAAGACCCTTTCCCTATACCATGTGAACACTGCTCACTACAGACCCAAATGGTATACTAAGATACATTTCCTGTATTGTACAACTTAAAAAATTCCTAGTTGCCTTTCTATTTTCCACTACTTGACTTCATGATATCCTAAAACTTTCACAAACTCTCCTTGGTATGAGGACAGCAGATTCCAACCCTGCTTCACAACCATCATCCTGAGTCTTCACTATTTTCCCACAATAAACTCATGCTTTTCTGGACACAATGTCTTCCACATTCTTCCTTCCTTCACTGGAGCACACCCTCAAACAGTGAAGATGTTTAGTCATATCTTCAGGGCCAATTACATATAGGAATATCCTACTCCATTTTATAACTTCCTGGCCCGGCTTTTACGGACTCAAGCTTTCTTCTATGGAAATTCCTTTCCTCCTGCTCAATTAGCCTGTCTTCTTTCATCTTGCTACCATTTACCCAATGTTCCTGTTCTGACTATAAACCTAAAACCTATTTTTAAAACTAATTCCCTTAGTCCTTGAGTGTCGGGAAAACCTTATTAAGTTTTGAAGAAGCAGTCTTTTATATTTTGTTTCTTGGCTGTATGGTTTGTAAGTTTCTCTCACTTAAAGATGTTATATTTCCTATATTGCATATAAGGCATTATTCTGTATGGGCTCTTATTCTCTTTTGTCTTTGATAAAAAGCCACGAATCACTGTGGAATGGACCTCTGAAATCTATCGCTATGATCAAGGTCTTTCTAAATAAACTATCTACCTACCAAGGACTAGGACAAACAATTCAAGGCATAAAGGTCTCAGCCTTCCCAGTGTTCTGTCCCCATAGGATGGGCCATGAGCAGGACAAACTCCTGTCCATGAAACAGGACCACAGAGATGCCACGTTCTCCTCTCCTGCTCTAAACTGCTAGTGTACAGTGGTTTTCCAGAGGTTCCTCTCTCCTGTAGGCTATCTGTGAACAAAGCTGGTGTGTCTCCAGCTTGCCTAGACCCCTACTTGCTGCACAAAAGTTTTCTTCTTGATCACTAGTGGAAAACATAGTCAATAAATATATAATTTCCAGAAATCAAAATCATTGTTTTTTCCCTACAATTTAACGGTCCTTTACAGATGTTCTGGGAGTGACTCTGGGATAAATGCCCTTTGTAGACTGATCCAGATGCTCAAACTGCATCTGGATGCACTAAGCTTGCATTTTGGTTTTTCTCCTGAGCCCTACCTGTTGCATACCAGTTATGAAAGAATAAATAGAAGGAAAAGCTCCCTGAATCCCACAATCTAAACACTAAACATTTTCATTTTGCTTATTCTGTTCCAAGACTCCTTCACACGCAGACAGGAATTTTAAGGAATTGAGAGAGTGAATATGTCATTTTATAGTCTTTTTTTCTCACTAATCAGAAAGTACACATTTTTCTTGTTACATTCACAAAATAGTGATTAACAGAATGTACTCAAACTAAGGATAGGGTCTATAAATATTCAAGAGGATGTGAAACATGTCTAAATTAGTGACAACTGTACAAAATCAGACAGTAGCAGGCTTGTCATTTTCATCACTATTAAAAAAGTGATCAGGGCCAGCCCAGTGGTGCAGTGGTTAAGTTCGCATGTTCCGCTTCAGTGGCCCGGGGTTCGCCAGTTTGGATCCCGGGTGCAGACACGGCACTGCTTGGCAAGCCATGCTGTGGTAGGCATCCCACATATAGAGTAGAGGAAGATGGGCACGGATGTTAGCTCAGGGCCAGTCTTCCTTAGCAAAAAGAGGAGGATTGGCAGTGGATGTTAGCTCAGGGCTAATCCTGCTCAAAAAAAAAGAAAAAGAAAAGCGATCAATGTAGAATTACTTTTAATATATTTGTGGGAAATTTAGTGCTTCTACCAAGAAAGGTTTTAATTACAAGGAATCCTCAGGTAGCCCAACTACATGAGAGAGGGCCTGGGGTTTAAATGAACCATGAACAGCCTCTATTCTGAGGCACAGGTGCTGTGGTAATCAGGGACTTTTCCCTCTGCTGTCTCAAATGCCCAACAATAGGGGGCCTTTCACACACACTCTAATCAGTCTCCTGCACTCAGACATCTGCTGCACATTGCTCCAGCCCAGCTCCCTTTTGTACCTACACATATAAATATTTATTGAAACTAAACAGAAACATCTAGATAGCAACAGCAGTCCAAAAGCAAAAGCTAACATGTTTAAAGATATATTACTTCGTTGCTATCAATTGGTATTCATTAATTAAGATTCCCTTTGCTAGTCACTTAAATGGTCTTCATATAATAGCTAAGATTTATGCGTGTTTAATGTGTGCTAGAAACGGTGCTAAGGCTGTATAGGCATCATCTCTTTTCCTCTTCACTGCTGAGGTAGGTACTATTACCGTCCTCATTGCAACTGAGGAAACTGATGCCAAAGAGGTTTAGAAGTCATCTGAGGACACGCAGCAAGAAAAAACCATTAACCAATACCTTGTACAGTTTCTCCTGTGAGTTGGAAAGCTTAAACACCATGGAAACATTACAGAGAATTGCACGGCTCCATACACCACAGCCTCTGCTGCACCACTCAGTCCACCTTTATTACTCCAACAATTGTCTGAACCGCCTAGTGCCATGGGTGCTGCAGTCCTCCTGTCCCTCCTGGATTCCCTCTCTACTAACCTAGTATCCCCAAGTTATCATCCAAAGTCTTCTAAGTTCCATGGCCTGAAAGCACACGTGGAACTACTGGCACAGGCCTGCCTGTTGGTAGACTCCTTCTGTAAAGAGTGATGTGGATTTCTAGTTTCCGGAAGATTTTACTGGCAGGTGCTTCCACCTCACACAATTAAACGGGTCATCTGAAAATCATGTCCCCTCTCTAACCAAAGACATCTCCTGGTCTGGATAACCTCAACCCACTTTCCCCAGACGCACCCTCATGTGCACAGACACACAAACACACCTGCCATAACTGCCTGGCCAAGGGGAAGCCAGATCATGCCTGAGTCCTGTACTGACTTTTCTGAGAGCTGATCTAAGACAGGCTGTCAGGAAGCCAGATCACCTGGGACCACATTGTCTGGAGCATGGCTGCTGTCCTCTGGCTCCTGCACCGCTCTCTGATTTTGGAAAAGGAAGAGCCTCAGATCTAAGCAAGGAGAAAAGAGCTCCGAATGAGACTGCCCCTCTCTTGTAGCCCATATGTCTATCACTCCCCCTCCCATCTCTCAACACCATCCCGGGACTCTGTTAACTTTCAGAACAATGACTGTCCTACCATTCCAGGGCAGCCTGGCCCCTACCCTCACCGAGAGTTAGAACTGCTCCTCCAACTTATTTCTCCATCCACTTGCCAACAAAGCACAAGGCTTCTCAAAATATACCGCTGCACTCCATCGCCCTGAACAGAGTCTCAGCCAGAGGAGAATCCTGGCCTCAATGACTGCTTGGGTTGGAGTAGAAAATAATTTTACTGAATGTGTCCAGTGACCCTGACCACTAACAAAGATTCTTTGACCAAACACTAGCCAGGCTCCTCTGAGCCCTTTCTCAACTAGGCCTCAACCTTGACCTATAAAAACAAAACATTAACAGTCTCTAACAACTCAAGGCCACATTCCTATGATGACCCTAGCCCCTCTTAGAGGGTCTGCCTGAGACAATCCAAGACTGCCAAAAGAATTTACTGTTTGTTCCAGCCAACCACCTGAAAATAGGGCCCCTGTCTCGCAGTCTCTGTGGGAAGGAGGAGCCTAGCTTCCAGAAGCACCAGTTAGCAAACCCAGGTGGGTTTCCTGTGACTCCCCTGAGCCTCTGTTCACCCCCCTCCCTACCGCCTCATTCTTCCTTTAAAACGCCCGGTCACGTCACCTCTATACAAGTCGAAGCTGAGTTCAGCTTCCCCGGACTCTTTTCCCTTCTGCAATACGTGGTTACTACTGATTAAAACCTGTCTGGCTTGGTTGATCTTTGACACCGTGACCGAGAGAGGCCTCCTCTGGAGAGACAGAGGGCAGAGGGCGGCGGGGCCGAGAACGGCTACAGGACAAAACGCAGGTGGAGGCTTGGCCACCGGTCAAGCAGGAAAAGAGATGCTCAAGTGCCCGGGTGGGTGACGCTGGGCGCAGACCCGAGCGGGACAACGGGAAGCCGGCGACGCCACCATCTTTAGTCGCATCCAGGAAGGCGAGCAGAGGCCGGGGCCGAGAGCCCTTCGGCGGAGGACGACCGAACCCGCCCCGGCGGCAGGGACGAGAGCTGTAAGGCCCCAGGTCACCGGGTCTCCTTAACCAGCCACTTCCAGGTCAAGGCCCTCGAGCCAGCCCAGACCACGGATGAGCCGAGCGCCTCGCCTCGCGGGCGGCTCCTCGCCCGGGTCCGGAACATCAGGACACAGACTTCCTCTCCCGAGGGAGCGCCGGGGCTCCACCAACCAACACCGAGCCGGAAGCGCAGCGGGAGCCCACCGTACCCTCTAGGAAGCCGGGAGGTTTCCCTCTCCGTGGTGCGTTGGACCGGTAAACTCACGTGCCCTGGCTACATAGCCCCGCCTACTGGCTGCAGTTCGAGTTGGAGATCCCCGTTGGCGGTAGCGATCCTCTTGTAATCCCGCCTGCCCAGACCTTCAGTGGCAGGCTACAGATGGAGCCACAGCAAGGCCAGCAACGACGCAAATGTTTGGGGGTTCTGCCTGTACTCCTGGCTGCCCCACGCGCAGCTGTGATCGAAAAGCCGAACTTCTTGGCCTCCAGGGCGCAGCATAATATAGGGAAACAGCTGTTTGCGTCTCGTTTTAAGCCCTCACTATTCCTGGAACTCAGTCCAGGGGCTGGACTGGTAAGATTAACAGTCTGGAGTCTGTGGTCAATCACTCTTTCCTCTAAGCTCTGAGGTCCTGTTAACAGGGCAAGATCTCACATACTGAGTGCTAACTTTTCCCCAGGAGAAGGCTAGAAACCACAGAATTCGCCCGATTTCACACTGTAAACGCTGAAGACTATCAGCCGAGCACATTGCAATTTAGACTGAACTGTAGGAGGAGGCCAAGGTGGGCCCCACAGTTTGCCTAATCTCTGTTATGGGGTAGGGTACATGGAGTATACAGAATGAGCGCTCTCTGCAGGTGCTACTTAGAAATTTCAGTTTGGGGGATGAGGGCTGTGGGCAGGGACGGTAAAGGCAGATGCAGTCAGTAGTACCCTGCGGGAGGCCTAGGCATTCTGGAAGCACAGCAGTGGTAGCAAGATTAAAGGAGAAATCATGCAGCCACATTGTTTTTCTTAGCACCAACCCAGCTTCCATGTTGGAGTGCCTGTGAAAAGACAGGGAAAACCAGGGAGAACGACAACCAGAAACCAACCAGATGAAAAGCTGTAACCAGAGAGACAGCCGTGCTGCTGCTGAGTCGGCTCACACACATACCTCAAAGAGAAAGGCCCAAGAGCCATATTCACCCTCACTCAACCTGTGGCCATAGGTGCCTGTGTACCCCAAACAGAACACAGAGGAAATCAAAGGGGACCATATCCCCACTTCCCATAACCCCGCGAACTCTTCCACCCCAACACTGGCCAGTCACAAGCCATCAACAAAAGAAGATCTGAACGCACAGACTGAGAGAGCTCACTCTGAACCAAGATGCATTAATGGAGGATGATCAACACCAAGGTAAATGACTGTCAAAGATAAATTTTTAAAAGCTTCCAGGCAGTAGGGACAAAAACATCCTGAAGGTTCTCCTCAGTTGTCTTAGTCACCAGGAGATGTGGAGCAATAGAAATGAGGGAAAACGTTGTGCTCTAAGAAGACAGCAACAGATAACCTTTTGGGTGTCTGCTGAGCCCAGCCACGGGATGGGGCCCCAGCAGCCCCCTTTACCCTTTACAACCTAGAGTCATGGTCCCCCTGTCCCCCTACTGAGTAGACCAGAAGTGAACATCTGAACTGAGCAAATCAGATTCTCTCTCCTGGAATTTGGGATTATGTCTGGGAGATTCTCAGTTTGGGCTGGTCCCTCGAATGGATTGGTAAACGGGGGACCTATGGCAACTTCTGCCATGTGCTTAGGGATAGAGAAAGCAGGAAAACAAAGAGGGGAGAAGGGATCAGAAGTGAGGAGACAGCTGAGCCTGAGTGCGCTGCCTGTGCTTCCTGACTGCTTGGGTTTCCAGGCTCCAGACCTCCTGGCTACATTTTTGCCCTTGGGTGTCAGGATACAATAAATTACTTAATTGATAAATTAAGTGTATTTGAGTTAATTCAAGTAGGTTTCTGCTATTTTTAAACAGAGACCTAACAACATACTTAGCCAAGTCACTAGTAAAGGAAGGAGTCTCAAACCTAAACAATTCAGGTAATATGACACCCATATACCTTCCTGAAGGAAATGGGCAGTCCTCATGCTAAATTAGTAAGTGTGTGTTGGGGGCAGGGAGACTCAGTAAGTTTAGATATAGTCATTTCACTTTCAGTGAAAATAAACTCCTGAGGGAACACTAGGTTGGAATGTATGTGATGCGTGAGTTTATTTTTACACATCTGTCCTTTCTGTGAGCTACACGTGGCCCTCGTCAAAAAACACCTGAGTGTCTACTAAGTGCCAGACACCTGGCAGTGCTGGTCCCTGCATTAAAGAGTGGCACATCCTTCATCTCCCACATGTAGTAAGTGCTGGGGAGGCTGTGTAATAC